CAACCTTCTTGCTGCGAGGCAACAGTGCTACCAACTGCGCCACCTTGCAGCCCCGCCTATATTATATCTTATCATATTATATTATCTATATTATATACTACCTTATATATATAGGTTATATTTTATTATATATAATTTATGTATTTATTCTACTTATATTTCTCATATATCCACAGTGTTCTCACCTCATCAGTGCAACAGATTTATTCTACTGTCTGGTAGAACAAACTTACACGTCCTACTGGCTCCTTCTGTAAATATATATTCCTATTTGTCTTTTATACTTGTATTTTGCACCACTGGAGTTGTATTTTAATTTCGTTGTACTTTGTGTATGATGACAATAAAAGCATTCTATTCTATTCTATTCTAGCCTCCCTCTCCTTCCTGCTGAGGCTACAGGGATCATTGTCTTTCTGCTAAATGAGTGTATTCAGAAATTACAACTGGCTTCTCAAATCCAGAGTGATTCTAAACTGATCAGTGCTCTGCCAACTGCTACCAGTGACTCTCATTTACTTAGTTTATCATTAATTTATTTATTCACCGTTTGTTTGTAGGTCATTGTTGTTCATTGTTTGTTTGTCGTACAAGTAAACAGTACTCATTATTACTAATGTCTCTATTTATCGTTGGTTCTACCATGTAGTTCTTTGTTTCAGCCCTTTAGCCCGAGAGGCCCCCACCCAGAGAACTGGTGTAAACAAAGCACCCATCATGACAGACTATAGTGATGCTGCACATCACATTAAACAGCAGAACCTGGGCTACCAGAACCTATCAGCCATGTCTACACGCCCCAAACCCACCTCACACACCAACTAAATGAATTCTCACACATGGACATCGACATAGCGCCACCCAGTCAACCCACTCGCCACATTTCTGGCTCCAGCGCTTTGCTGCTTTATGCTAAACGCTCCAACAGGCCTCAGACCAAAGCAGACAGTCCACAGAGTCCAGACATGTCCATCAAAGCTCTCTGAGATCAAAGCATCAGCGAGAAACAACCCAAAGAACAGCACAAACCCAAACCGGAGCTGGAAAATGTCTCTTACCTTAGCTGTTTAGCTTTGTTGTAGCGGTAAATCCACACCGGAATCAGTTAGTACTACTTCCTGTGTTACACTGGAATCATTCCGGGCGTCTTTTTGAGGCTTCGTTAGCCTCAGGGAGCTAAGGAGGGAACACTCGCTCAGCAAGCGGCTCGTCTTGAAGATGGCGTCCTGCTGGTTCTGATTGGCTAACAGTGCTGTCAATCTTATGTTGGAGGCTGTCGCTACATTCTATTGGCTGTCACGATTCGAAGGAGGTGTCAATCACTGAAACCGACCAATCATGACGGAGATGCAGCCTTGCGTCACCACAGGAGCTCCACAGCAGCCTGAGCAGCATCAGGACGCGGAACACAGACAGCGGTCTGGTTGGATGTTCAGGAAACTAAAGAGCTGCTGTATGTGGATGTATTGAACCCCATCAGTGATCTACTAGTGGAATATATAGTTTGTACATGAGAACATTCAGATGGTCACCAGTGAGCCAGAATGAGAGCTCGCCTGAACCGTCTGGACTAAAAACTCTCTGATGTTGTTCTGCTTCACTTGATCAGAGTCACAATGTTCACATGTTGTCTGTGATCTGGGAGAGGTTCAGAGCTGCAGCTGGATCAGTACAAACATCATCATCATCCTGAACATGTTTCCTCTGTGCTGTGTGCCGTCTGCATTTACTATGAACCAGGAAAATATAAACTGATATTTACACACCTGAACACATCTTACTAGTGTTCCTTTGATTATGACACAAGAATCATTCAAACAGACCTTGTGGTTGCAGACAAACTCTGGTTATTATGGGATGTAATTTAGCTCAGGGCTGAGCAGGTTAAATTATCTCCTCTTAGCAACAGGTTTTCTATTTTTAATACATGTGGTTAATCTGTTTTGAAAGATTTGCACACTAGAGGGCTACAGAGTGAGATTAGTGGGTTAGCGAGGTACGTTGAGCCTAAAACCAGCGTTTTCAGTGTTACAAAGGTGTGTATGTTTGGTTCTGATCTGCTGCCAGGTCCGTTTGCTCTACTGCGACTGCAGCTGATTGATCACGGATCAGACCATTGTGTGCATTTATTACAGAGAACATTCAATCATTAACATAATTTTGCTCTGATTGGGCCAAAAGTTAAAGTGATTTCCTGCATTATGGGACAGAGTCAGACCTAAAAGCACTTCAACATAATGTCATGTTCAAATATATAAAGTTTAAAGTTTAGCAGCTTTAACGTGTCGGTTAGAAATCAGCAGCTTCTTTGATCAGTAAAATAAATATATGAACACGTTGAACAGTTTCTACCAGCATTCCTATCTTCACCATTTACCGTCATCATGTTAATGTTCCTCATTGTTCTCCATTGAAACAAGGTGCTGACTGAAGCAGCTGCACGTGATCGATTCATTCAGTGCAGAAGAAGAGTCACATGACATAACGCCTCCTTTAATGACAACAGAGTCTGAAGCAGGAAGCTGGACCTCCTTCATGATACCTGTGGTCTCTGCTGGAGCTTTAGATTTACACACAGAAAGCCTGGATATGCCAAACCTGTTTGGTATTACACCTCCCTGCTACCTTCTGTTGTTGTTTGAATGAAGCTCAACAAAAACAGCAGATGGACCATCTTTCAATTTAGCCTTTATGGGAAACAACCGCATTATTACAGTTCATACTTAATTTGGTATGATAAAACAATAAAGGTCAAAAATTAGGTTACATCTATTGAATCATGAGTACAGTAACATGAATATTTCATATATTAATGACATTTGTTTGCTTATTACTGTGCAAAACAACATATACATATCTACTGAATGTGTAAGAAGTACAGTATCAGCGAATGGCCCTCAAAGTGACACAATACTCGTTGAAGCGTAATCAAAAGACAAAACTGACAGAATGTTCTGAAAAGTACTCCTCTTTGCCAATGAATTCCAAAACAGCAACAGCATCAGTATCAACTGAAGACGTGATGATGGAACACACTGTTCACACTGCTTACCCTGCTATGTGCCTACAACAGGAAGACACTCCTCTTTCGTCATCTGCTGGTGTTTGTGATCCATATTCTACCTATGAACATATGAGGTAACTACCAGGTCTTGCATGAGAACAGCAAAAAAAAACAATATTTTCACTTTGGAAAACATTCTGTAAATATTATAGAAGATTACCACTCCTGGGCAAAACAAGAACTGTTTAAAAAGGAATTATTTAGAGAAGAAACAGGCGAATCTGATTGACATGAATTTGTTAAACATAGAAAAATGCCCCATCGAAGGTAAAATCACATCACAAGCCATGACTGAGGCTCTTAGTCGAGCCTCCCGTTTCCATTCATCAGTGTCAACACATGGTATTGTCAATGCAAATGTTGCTCCCCAATCTGACTGGACCAAAGAGTTGAGCAACCAACATTGCAAAAGTAGAGATAAAAGAAGTAGTCCAGGAAATCTTAACGGGATTGTAAAAAGAAAATTCCACCTTTATAGGATCTCACACTGCTATTTATCATCAATCAGTTTTGCAGGTGTTGTTTGATTTCCTACATTTCTCAGAATGCATTTGGCAACTTTAAATGGACAGTCATCAAACTGTTGCATCCTGCTGGGTTTCACCTGAAGGCAGGACGACAATATATACACCAAGAATTTGACATTTAACTTCCCTAAAGCTGCACTGGAATTATTCTGACATTACATCATTTATGTCCACCAGAATATGAAAAAAGATGCAGACGTAGATGATCCATTACCAATATCTGTTTGTTTATTGTGCTACAGGGTTTCAGGGTTGACTCCTCCATTATTTATGGACTAAACTGGCCACGTACGGCTTTGAAAGAGGTGCTCTAACGCATCCTCTCATCACAAAGTCTTGAAGCTGTTTCCAGCCAATGTGTACCGCTTCAGAAAAAATAGGAAGAAAACTAGTTTGAAGCTTGTTAGAAGTAAACTAACAAGCCTAACAATACATGTTTTTTGCGTCATACAACAATCTAAAACAGATGAGACACTAATAGAGGCACAGTTTTGATGCACTGTTAACAATAAGCGACTTCTGGCTGCTTTCAGAAGTCGGTCCTGGTCCTCTGACCTCTGCTGGTCCAAACACCTGCTGACACAGGTGCAGAAATGATTTGTGAATACTAAAGCAGCAGCAGTTTGCAAATATTAGTGTCAGGTTCACTGTCGTCAGGAACGAGGCTTCTTTCATGTGTTTGTAGTATGCACCCACTTCCAGTGCCTTTAAAACGGAGCCGCACTGCTTCCTGCTGTGAAAGCACACAACAGACTTTCCACTGTTTGATTTGATACTAAAAGTAAATACCCCAAATTTCAAAATAAAGAACCATTTTTTGTGATCAAATGATGATGTTTAAGCTGGGTTTAGTGTACAAATTGTTCTAAAATCAGTGTATACGCTGCAGAGAAAAGGGAAACCGTGCTATGGACTACAGAATGTTCTTGAAAAGTGCAGTCCAATCATTTTTCTTATTGGTGAATTCAACAAGTCTTAATTACATCTGACAACCCCAGCCGAAACAAGAAACTTTGTTAATATCTGGTTCAGACATAACACTGTCACAATTACTCAAAAATACCTGATCACATCGCTCTAAAATCTGTGAAACTGCACCCGAGGATCACATGACAGACAACGCTATTCCAAAGAGTTTAAAAGACAGTACGTGTACACCCTCTGCCCTTTCAATGACTCAGCAAGTTTATCTGCACCTTTCCAAAGATTCCTTTCCACTAGATTCCTGCGGATCAAATCCTGTGTGGGTCTGCAGGAGTCCATGAGGAGTCTGTGTGCAGTACCCGGTCCAGAGGATTCATGGCTACACAACTCTGCTTGACAAGTGTCATCAAACATCCATTCATCCTTTCATCAGCTGTGCCACGGTGGGCTGACATGGAAGGCAACCATGGGCCAGTTTTCTGTTTGACCAGGAGGTGGCAGCATTGATGCCCCCACACAGACCTGATGCTGGTGTGACTCTCGGAGGTGAAGGCTCAGTGGTGAAGCAGTGTGTGTTCGGTGGGGCAGTGATCGCTGCTGCTGTGTGTGCATATCCGCTTTTGTTTGCCGTTTTGTTCATAGCTGAGATGAAAAGTGGAACAACGTTAGCTCGCCGTGCCTGGGTGCTTGAGGACTGTGTAGACGTTGTCCACTTTGCTCAGCCTCTCGAAGAACGGGATGAGGTCCAGCAGCTCGGTGTCGGACATGTCGTCAAACCAGGTGGCCACCGGCACCTGGATGAAACCCAGACTGTCAGCAACTGATCCTGTTAGCAGATTCACTTAGTTGTTCTGATATTTTGGATAAATCTGCACAAAAAGTAATGACTGTGTCTCATTTCAGCAAGACTTATTTCTGAAGTACCCGACGTTTATGGCTGCAGCCTTCAGGTCTAAGGGCCCGCTGCTGAGTCCACATATGCTTTTCTGACTGGAATGAAGCACTACGTCAACAGCCCTCTATGATTAAACCCTTATTTTGGGGCTTGGGAGGAACAGACAACCTGCAGTTTCACAACTTTAACTACATTAAATTAATTAATAATGTTTCACCTCCAAACTAACTGACACCGTGTCAGAGAAGTCGACCTGGTTGAATGTTGATTAAACAGAAGAGCAAAAAATCGAAATTTATCAGTTTTCACAACCAACATGGAGGATCAAGTGTTAGCACGCTACGGTGACTGCATTATACTGCTCAGGGTGCTGGATCTGTGCAAGGACATCACATGAGTATGGGTCTGTTGTAATCATTTCTGGACAAAATAATGACATTAAAAGAAGTGAATGTGTTGCAAAGACTAACTACTAAAGTTTACTTCAGGGCACTGAGGTCAATAAGGACAGGTGGTGGACTGCACTGTGGCTGATGTAGTTCAAGTCTCTCTGTTGTCACTGATTAGGCCCTGAAAGCTCATCTCTGTGTCTAAGTTGCACGTTCAGTGATTTTTTTCCCCCTGAAAATAATCTCTTCCTGTCTTAAAATGGCTCAGACATAACTCTGAACACCGTACTGACCTGATAACAAGGTGAACGATGTGGTGTTCCCTATAAGGAATCTTTAGTCGAGAGGTCACTTGCAGGAACTTACATTTTCAAGTTAAACATTACAAATATGTACAAATATGAACATGTGACTATTTATAGCCAAGTGAAGACAGTGACTCGCTGTATTTAACCCCATGATTGCCCTTCTCATGTGAGCAATAACAACTGGGAATGCACTCGATGAAAGAACCTACACTGTCGCCCATAGAGATGGAATAATTCCTTTTTTACCTCTTCTCATGAAATGATTGTGATAATGGGATTTATTCTTCATAGATAACGTGTATATTTTCTCAGTGCTTTATTGATCTCACAATATACATACAACACATGTCAAAGTAAAAATTAAACCACTACTAACTTTTGCAAACTGCGTGTTCAGGCTTAAACTAAACTGGAGGTGTTGAACAGTAGGATTAAGCGTTTCGTTTCAGTTTTCAACCATGGTCATACAACAGGAAACATATTCGAGGGTGGATTTGATGCTGTGGAGCTAGGTCTCCATGGTAACTGATGCTGTGGAGCTAGGTCTCCATGGTAACTGATGCTGTGGAGCTAGGTCTCCATGGTGACTGATGCTGTGGAGAGTTGTCCAAAATACTCACTGCGTTGTCAGGGTGGAAGATGTAGGAGGCAGGTGAGTTGTCCACGATGATCACCTTGCTCAGGTCCCGACCAAGACGACTCAGGTCCTTGACGTAGTTTCCTCGGTGGAACACGCAGGACTCTCGGAAAAGGCGGCAGCGGAAAGCACCCCACTTGTCCAGGAGATCGGACACTGGGTCTGCATACTGATGAAAATGTGAAGCAGAATGAGGTCCAGCATGAGCTGATATGATGCCTGGTGAAAAGTCAAACTGAGCGTATCAACCACGATTCTCTAAAGACTTGTGTGTATACGTGATTACTGCATCTGTGTATCTTCATACTGCAGACAGCAAACATGAAACTTGAACATATTTATCAAACACAGCTTGCAACCTTTAAAACACCACTAACTCCAATCTTATACCTCTTAGAGCATTCAGTACAGCAAAATGATATCATGTGCACAATATCGTATGAAGGACTTCTAAGACAGGACTTAGACAGAAAGAAAATGTCATTTACAGAGAATCATACTAATAATGCTGCTGCGGCTGCTGCTGCCTGTTTCTTCATGCATTTCTTTGGTGTTTTACAGATAGTATTTTGCACCCCATCGTCCTGTCATCGTTCTCCCAAAGCTTCTCTGTCTCTTGTTCACCTCTGAAATTGTTCCTTACGTATGAACCATGGGTATATTTACCTATTCCTGTTGGAGTGACACATGAATACTAATGCCACATACAAAACAACAACTAATCTGGAGTACAGAAACATGCAACTGCAGTTTTTCGTCCTTGTCGTCACCTTGGCTAAACTGGCGGTGAACAGGACGCACTCAAACAGTTCTCCCATCCTCTTCAGGAACTCATCGACGTGGGGCCGCTTCAGGACATACACCTGGAACACAGGAATCTTTGAAGCATCCTGACACACACCTTACATTTCTAAATACAACGTGTTTCTACAGAACACAAATGCCTGAGGAAGTACGATGTTTTCTGTAAGTGTTTCAAATGCAGATGATGACTGAAGCCTAACCTAATGATAAATGAGTTTATACATTCTGTGTGCACTTCCTCAACATTCAAGAAGACGTCCAAGACTTGCAGCGGAAACTAAGCATAAAAATATGCATATAAATAACGCACAGACAAGCATTTGGCTGGTGGAAGCTCCATTTTTCTTCTTCTTGCTGCGCTGGCGGCTCAGGGCAGCGTTCCTGAACCAAGTCATCCGGAATAGGCTGTGCTTGTCTGAACAAACCTATCCTGGATTACTTGAATCAGGCCCAGACCCATGGCATGTCGTCAATCTCCCAGCAGCTGTCCTCAAAGCCCTTCAACGCTGACGGCACCTACAACACTCAGTAATTTACACCCAGGAGAAGTGCTGTCACACACCCAGAGTCACAGTAAGCACATAATGGACACCTTTGAGAAGCGGTGAGATGCTAGCGTTACCTGGTGGACTGTTCCATCGATTTCCACAGGAATGATGAAATCTGCATTGTTCACAGGCTAATTGAAAGAGGAACAAAGTACATGTTAACTAACAGGACTTGGCCATTCCACCTATGAAGACTGGAGAATGAACAGAATTTTCATTGACACTGTGGTGTTACAGCAGGACAGACCAGGTAGAGACCAGCAGAATGTGTGCACATAGGAGCCGCTGTGTTTGTTTGGGTTGAAGAGGCAGCTTCTTTGGGTTTGGCATTTTCCAGCAGCGACAGAAATGTCACCGTCAGAGCCAACAACAACCAGAAGGAGGAAAATGTAGGTCTGAGTGTTTCTTACCCTTCAACATAACTATCTAATGAGGTAATGCACCCACGGAGGACAGCTATTCTAAACTCATATCTCTGAACTCCTGCATCATCGAGGAAACGAAGAACACACTCAAAATGATAAACTAGCTGCCTGTAATTCATGGAACAATATAGTTTTCCTCTTACCTTGAAAGAGCTGTGGACTAATGTCTCATCCAGATCTATCACCACACAGATCTTTCCAGAGTCTTTTGACTTTACTGGAGGCAGCAGCGGCTTCACCTGGATCTGAAAACACACACAGAAGATGATCGCTAAGCCTGAACGCACAAATTCAGAATTCTTTGAGCAGCATGCAACAAGAAAACCTCCATCTGATCCAACATGCTGCAGCAGGGTTCTGACAGAACCAGTACCAGATCAGATGTCTCCTGTATCAGCTTCTCTTCAGTGGCTTCCTGTAAAATCCAGGATAGAATCTAAATCCTGCTTCTAACATATAAACTCTCCATGAGCAGCTCCATGTGACCTTACAGACCTCATGGTACCGTATGATCCCACCAGAACCCTTCGCTCTCAGACTGCAGGTCTACTGGTGGGTCCAGAGTCTCCAGAACCAGAATGGGAGGCAGAGCCTTCAGCTATCAGCTCCTCTGTTGTGGACCAGCTCCCAGTCTGGGTTCTGGAGGCAGACATCCTCTGTGCTATAAGGTCAGGATGAAAACGTTCCTCTGTGATGAAGCTGATAGTTAGAGCTGCTCAGGATCACCTGGACTGTCCCTCAGTAATGCTGCTGTAGCTTCAGACTGCCGGGGGACTCCCATGATGCACTGGGCTCCTCATACGTCACCGTTACACATCACTAACTCTGTGCTTCTTCTCTCTGTGGACATCTCTGACCTGCAGTTTGTGACCTTACCGACCTCCAAAGTGTCTATGGTTGTGTCTGTATGGCTGCTCTCCATCTCCCCACTCCACCCCTCCTGCTATGAGCAGCGCTATAGGATGATATACGCTGTGTGATATAAATACAACTGAACTGAACTGAATATAGAACGACAAGATGCAAAGGCTGGAGAGTGTGAGAAGCACAACAGTTTGGTCTAAAATGCTTTCTTCCTGACCTTTGTCTTTCTGTAGGACAGATCTGATCACAACAGAACTAACGCCGACCAAAGTGCTGAACACACCTTGGAGATGGTTCCGTTCTCTTCCACCAGCAGAGGGGCGTTGTTGTTGACCGGTGTTGGTTCAGGCTGGTCCCGACACAGGCAGCAGAAGAGGCTGGAGAAGAGGCCTCCACTCCGGGGCTTCTTGGAGGACAGAGAGGGAGAAGAACCTGCACAAGGAGAGCAAGAACATCCCTCTGGTTTTCTATGGTGCTTCTAACCCTAACCCTGCTTCAGTTCACTGGGATCCTTATCAGCTGCAGCAAAGCACAGCTATCGCTCCTGGGCTCCGACACAATGATATGTACAAGACAACAGAACATATCGTAAAACCAACGCCAAGTGAGCTTTACAAGCGCTGAATATCACTGGGCTCCTGGAAAATATCATGAGCATTTATTTATATATTCATTTATTTTTACTGTGTTTTGAAAAAATATTCAAGTTGGTTGTTTTTAAAGAGCAGTTAAATTTAAATCTTAAAATGTAGGCAATTAAATTAGCTCAACAAACAAACAAAACAAAAAGCTCAACCAAATCCAAGCTTAAATGTCATCGAAATCACTTCATTCTACATTTAAAAGTGTGCAGAAAATGAACAATTTGCACAAATCAGACTGTGTACAACCTCCTCAGCATGACTGACTCTGACCCTGGAGCTGTGAGCTATGACTGACTCTGACCCTTCCACAGAGCAGAGAGGAGGCCAGGATGAAAACAGACAAACACTGAAGCAGTAAAATGTCCATATTATGCAGAGCCACTGACTCTCCAGTATCAGTAACACATTACCAGGAGTAACATGTTAATTATTTATTATTTGCCATTACAGTGTGCTATCCTGCATCAAAGACGTGTCTCTACTGCTAACTATAGGTGTGTTGTTTCCACACAGGCCCAGGACTTTAGATTGCAGTAAAACATGAACTCACATTGAGTCAAATCGGAGTTCAGAGGCTGACTAGAGGCCTTAACAAATAAAAACCACCTCTGAACATGACACACGCTTCAGGGTGAAATCACTGTTTAACTGATGCCTCCGTCTCGTCAGCGATCGTACAGAAGCAGTAAACGGACATCCAGCAGCTTGCTCAGACTTCTATCATGTGCACAAACCAAACACGTGTCTGCCAGCAGCTCTTGCGTAACTGAACCTCTGATGTCAGCAGAAAACCACCAATGAACACTCAGTACCTGAACACTTCTGTCATGGTGTCAAGGCATTTTTACACACATCATGAGTTATTCTGGACGTAGTGCAGCGTCAGAACAAGGCGGATGTCATATGAGCATTCATAAATACACGTAACCTTCTGACAAACACCACAGTCAGTTCTAAGCCTACCTTATGATCTGATCTGTTTTTTAAACTCGTTTAATTTCAGAACATTGGTGAAGTTACACCTGTTGCTTCCATTTGCTTTTGAAAATGAAGTCTACAGTAAAACTGCTTTAAACTCATGTAAACAGACAAACAGCAACAGTAAAGACCACATTGAGCACAAACTCTGAAATTATGGAAAAACAGCTGAGAGCTAAAACACAAAGTGCAACTCTGACAACTTTTGCATTGTCAAACTTTTTCAGGCCAAATGAATAATTGCCAGACTAATCAAGAAAACCCCATCGCTGCTCTGTATGCCTTCATAAATCACATCTACAGGTTAGGGTTCGGCTCAGGTGCTACCACAGCCCATCCAGACTTTAGAAAGTGAAACTGTTCAAGGACAACTTCTGTTGGAAATGCAGAGGTTGGAACTTTCCTTCACTGTATGTGGGAGTGTTCTCTGGTGGCACCTTTCTGGAGGAAAGTCGTTTGAGTTCTGAGTAGCTGGTTCGGTTCAACGATCCCTCTGACCCGAGACTTCTGGGTCTTCTGGGTGATAAAACTCAAGTACAGAGTGCCTCAAAGAGTGCTTTTGTCTGTCACTATGGTTGGTTTGATCACTGCATCTAGAAGTAGTGTAAGACTTTGGAAAACAGGCTCAAGCCCAAGCCTGAAAGACTGAGGAGACGTAATGATAGAGACAGCAGCTAACAAATCCACGCTGCACACATTAAAAGGTACAGAAGGTGGGTCCACATCCTGGGACCGCTTTGGGCTCACATAGAAACTGACCAGGACACGGTGCAGACCCAGATGGTGGGTCCACATCCTGGGACCGCTTTGGGCTCACATAGAAACTGACCAGGACACGGTGCAGACCCAGATGGTGGGT